GGCTCTTTGGCCCCTTGAGTGTGGCTCTTCCTAAGCCTTAGGAGTACCCTAATTAAGTTAATGACAATGTACCTACCTATATAGTTTAAGTTTAAAAAATTTTGCTCTCAAAAGAAATTTCAATCGTTGTACTGTTGATATTTGGCTCTGTTGACTAATGAGTTTGCCGACCACTGGCCTAGTGGATCATGGGAAAGATTTTGCTTTCAAGAGGTGGAGAGAGACAGATACCTGATGATATCTGATATCAGCTGAGCCCCTGGATCCAGCGATACCTGATGCTGCATGAATTCCTCCTGCAGGAAAGGCAAGCTCGAATTTCCCCAAGTCTAGATGCTCACCACATCAAGAAAATGGCCGGCACATGGGCATTTGGACCAGTGTGTGGGGGGGAATTTCCCAGAGCCCCTCTTGCTGGAGTCAAGGGTTGATATAGGTGAAAGGGCAGATGTTGGAGAGCAGGAACCTAGTATGTTGGGTTTTTTATTTATCTTTATTGTTGAAAGTATCACAGATGTCCCCCCTTTTTTGGTCATTGGTTTTTCAAGTGGGTGAAATTCACATTTAAAAAATTAACCATTTTAAAGTGAACATAAGTACAATGTGGTGGCTATAGTTGGTAACACTATATTGAATAATTGAAATTTGCTGAGAGTGAAGTTTAAATGTTCTCTCTCTCACACACGTGCAAATATTATACAAATAAATATGTGAGGTGATGGATGTGTTAATTAGATGGAGCAATCTTTTCACAATGTATACATATTTCAAATCGTCATGATATCACTTTAAATATCTTACAATTTTATATGTCAATTTTACCTCAAAAAGCTGAAAATAAAAAAATATATAGCTCCCAATTTTAGAAATCACCAGCAAAAAAAATAAATAAAAGTGGGCAATTCAGTGACATTTAGTACATTCACAGTGTGTGAAACCCACCTCTGTCTAGTTCCAAAACATTTCTGTCACTCCAAAGTAGAACCCCACATCCGTTAGTGGTCACTACTTTCTTTCTGTGTGGATTTACCTGTTCTGGACTTTTCATACAAACAAACTCGCACACTATTTGTCCTTTTGTGCCTGGCTTCTTTCACTCAGCATCATGTGTCCACGATTCCCCCGCGTCACACAGCCTGTCAGTGCCTCCTCCCTGTATGGAGGAGTAATATTCCATTGCACGGAGGGACCACATTCTGTCTGTCTCTTCATCCGTTGATGGACATTAGGTTGTTTTCACCTTTTGACTACGATGAACAGCCAGGCATCTTTGTGGCTGGAACTGTAGAGGCTGGAAAAGAGGCAGTGATTCAGGACAGGAAAGGGGAATTTGAGAACCAGAACTGGGTCGTGGCTACCGTTTCCAAGTTCTGACGATTTTACCTCCAAATCATGTCTTGAGTTTGTCACTTCTCCCTTTCCGCCGCCACTTCCCCATCCCAGGCCGCCGTCATATCTCACCAGGTCCGCTGCAGTAACCTTCTCTCAGACCTCCCTTCTGCCTCTCCAGTCCCTGAGCCCCCTGAACCCATTCTCCATGGAGGGATCCTAGTGACACTTAAATCAACTTACGGCACTTTCTTGACCAAAACCGTTCCATGGCTCCCCACTGTGTCCGGAGCGAGTCCAGACTCCTTCCTGTGAGTGACTCCCCCTCCAGCCACTTCACACACAGTTTCCTATCCCCTGACTCCCTCAGCTTCGGCCACCTGGCTTCCCTCCGTTCCCAGGATGCACAGTGCTCTGAACCTTTGCACCTCCTAGTCCCTTCCAGGACTCACCCTGCGAAACTTCACTGAGCCATCACCTCTTCCGGGAAGGCACATGACCCCCAACCCCACCCCACGGAGTTGAGCGCCTTTGTTTCCTCCAATCAGTCATTCTTGGAGCCAATATTTAATGAGCCAATATTTACTGTGTCTCAGACACCAGGACACAAGTTAAAAAGACAGACAACTACATGCAGGTTCGTAGCAGCTCTGCTTACAATAGCCAAAAGGTGGGAACAACCCATATCTCCGTCAATGGATGAATGGGTAAATAAAACATGGTACATCCATGCAATGGAATACTACTCAGCCACTGACACATGCTGCAAGGTAGATGAACCTCGAAAACACGATGCTGAGTGAAAGAAGCCAGGCACAAAGGCCACATGCTGTGTGCTTCCACTTGTATGAAAGTCCAGAATAAGTAAATCCATGGAGACGGAAAGCAGCCCCGTGGTTGCCAGGCCATAAGGGAGGGGAGAATAGGAAGTGGGTGCTTATGGGTGGGGGGGGGGGTTACTTTCAGGTGATGAAGATGTTTTGGTACTAGATAGAGGTGGTGGTTGCACAGCATCGTGAATTCACTTCAAAATGGCCAATTTTTATGTCATGTGAATTTCTCCTCAATCAGTTATTATTTTTTTTAATGACAGACAAATGATCCTGCCCTCGCTTGCCAGAGGGGAAAAAAATGAAAAAGCAACATTCATACAGGACATTCGATGACGTTAGGCGTCAGGGGGAAAAATAGAGCAGGGAGGAGCATATGAATTGTGAATGAGGACGATGGCGCAGCCATGTTCACTAGGAGGCGCCCAGAGAAGGTAGCTTTGGGGGAAAGACCTGAAGGGAACAAGGGCACC